ATATGTAATTACTTGAAATAATATTTTTATTTGCGGTACAAACACAATTTTTAATAATTTTTTATTTTATATACATTACATCATAAAGAGAGTGTTACAACAATTATTTCAAATAATATTTGAAATAATATGCAATCCATGTGTAAATTGTACTCAGAGTATTGAAAGTGATATTTGTGCTTCAAATATAATTTTTGACCTCCCGCCTTTCATTAGTGAAGGAATATGGAGTTTTGGAAGATTATTTTGGAGTGCAAATATATCATTTCTCCATAAGAAATTTCTACCAAATTTTAGAGATAAGATAACAAAGAGAAATTTAGTTGTTTTAAAATAGAATAAATAGTTAAAAACCATATAACATGGAAGATCACAGCTTCTTTTACTGTACAATCTCCTGACTTCATATTTAATTGAACTTTTGTTTGAATTCACTCGTTTTATGATGAGTTTGTCCAGCAGGTGCAGAATATGTTGCGGTTAAGAGGCTAAATCATCCCCATTTACTATTTTCTATGTTTATGCGGTTGATTCTTGGTTTATAAGTCTTGCATCGTGGTTGCATTGGTTATGGTCAAAGTTACTTAGGAATTCAAGCTCAAGGGTGGTCTTGGGACAACATTTGCTCCATCTCCACCTTTTTATCAAAGCCGTAATCCCTAAATTCTTGTGAATTCTGATGTTAATCTTGGCTAATTTGTTTCGGATTGCTGAGTAGTCAACATTCTGCCCCTAAGTCCTTGTCCTGCAATTCAGTAGACTTTTTTTTATGCAGTGCTTTTGACAACCGTTTACATCAACAGTTATGCTTTACATCTGTTAGGATTGGATGTTTTCCTATGTTCCTCCACTCAGTCTTGTTGTGTATTGTCATTGTTGATCAGTCCCTCGAGACAATTACAAGTCTTTGTTTTAGCCGTGTCCCTGTTCGTGCTGCATCTAAACTGCTTATCTCCCTCCCTGAAAAATGGAAAACCCACAACAATGCATGCATGGTCGCATTAAAGGGAATCTAAATCCCTTGCAATTTTGAACAACGTTATGGAATGATTCTTTATTTACGGTAGTGTCTGATCTTCAATCCAATAATGAAGCTTTTGTCAAGGAAAGAAAAAGTTGGGGGCAGAATAATTGACAGAGTTGCACGAGGGGAGGAGTGATCTCTGTGTTGGTTATGGCAATAGTCTGAGTTAAAAGCACAAGTTTCTTGTCCAGATACTCCTTTGAGTCACAGGAAATGCCAAACACTACTGTCAAATCATACATCACTTCAAATCATTTTGCCATTCATCTTTCTTTTCTTTTTAAGCTTTGCAAAAGCTTCCCATTTGCTAAATTGAAAAGAATGATGGGAAATTTTTGTGCTTGTAGGAGCTGGGAATGGGCAAAAAAACCGGGCTAGACCTCTAGGTTTCTTACAAATTGAGGTTCAGCCTTCACTCACACCTGCTCCTGCCATTATCATCTGTCATTTTTGTCTGATCTCATTCATTCAGATAATAAAATACTCCTCTGCTCATCCATGCTCAATGGGAGTGAGTAGTTGAAAGTCTTCAGGAAGCGGTAAATTATGTCTAATCTTGCAAATGGATGCAGTTGAATTCCATGCACCTCCATCAAGTTGGTGCGTGAGAAAACAAACTGGTCCCTCCAAACTGTCTTTTTTCTCATGTTCTTAAGGACGCAGAGGATTCTGGATCTTTTTTGTATGGTAGAGTCAACAGTTCACAAGCATATAAACAGCAGAAGGGAAATTTAGGGAATAGTCATTTGGATCTTTTCAGACACAACTTCTTGTGCATGGAATCTTGCAATTGATTGATGGTTCCATTTGAGCGTTTTATTTGAGAGCATAATCAAATGAAAACTACTTGCTCAACAAAGTAAAAGGATTTCAAGTTTTTGTTCGTCAAGATTTTTAACAACTCCAAAAAAGGGAAAAAATGCTTACAATTCGTCTCACTTTTGCAATGTATTTGTTGATTTTTTTTTTTCAACGTGCCACACTTTACCATACTACAATTCAGGTTACGTTTGGATTATGGGATCTGATGATGGATTTAAAATCCTTACAATACCTTCTTAGTTGTTTGGATTATTTGAGAAGTATTTATATTTACAATTCACTAATTATTTTAATTTTTAAAGGCATTTAAATAATTGATAAATTACAAATCGAAATACTACTTTTTAAATAAGTCAAACAAGTTAGACTAATTTGAAAGAATTTTGAATCTGTCATTAAATCCCTCAAACAAATTAAAACGGATTTGAATCTTTCGTTGAATCTTTCAATCTAAACGCAGTGTAAAATTAATTATTAACCTCTCCTAAACAATAGTTCGCAACACTTCACCAATCAAAAAGTAATCAGAATCACCATAACCCAAACTTGTACAACGTAGAATTACCATAGCCCAAATGTTACACTTTTACTGTATATGCTACTTCCATCCCATTACAATGAAAGCGGTTTTCTTCAACATTCAAGGGGAAACATTGTGGTAATTTGATGCCAAGACGGTCTGCAGAGTTGACTTGTGATAGCAGTAAACTGAGTACCTTCTTTTCCAATCTTTCACAGCATTACTTTACCGACCTCAATGAAATTCTGACAAGATGATGCTTTTGTATAATTTAATGAAGCAAGAGGGACAGAAGTGGAAAAAAAGCACCAAAGTAAAACAATCAGGTACAATTATACAAATACTGCTGATCCAAGCATGCACCGTTCTGGCCGTGTATAATTGAATGCACCGTATCTTGCCACAGAGAAAGAAAGGGACGTCAGTAAAGAGAAGAATATCGTATTGAAAAATGTAAAGATCTACAAAAAAAAAGAAACAAGAATCGACTTGAAGCTTAAAATGAAATGGATATAAATACACAGTTAGTTCAAATTGCTAAGATCCTGTGTAACCTATATAAAGGAAGAAAAGAAAAGAAAAGGAGAATTAAGCCATGCAAGGTCTTCTATACATTCTTATTCATAGGCACTCCCAATAACTAGTCCTCTTAATGAGAATATTTTTAGAAATTGGAATGGATGCCAGCCTCGAATTCTCCAAAGGCTTTTGTGAAACGAACACATTCACAAACATTTACAGGGACTGTCCCATAATGAAATCCATGTTCGTATGAGAGATATTGGAGGGTCCATACTCGAATAAGAAAGGACCATGAACTCCGTGACCTACCATTGTACTCTATATATGTTTTCATGTCTCTGAAAGTTTTTGAAATGGATTAATCCCTGACATTAGGATATATGTTTTTAACTATGTGAAGCTTGCTCATTATATAGGTTAAAGAGAAGTGTTTAAAAGTCATTTCTAGTCACAATTTCTTGAAACTTATCATGATACATGGACTCAATGGAAGTGACTTTTAGGATATCTGGACTCCTAGGAAGTGAGGATGGCTTTCCAAGTCCTTGGCCAGAAAAGGGTTTTCTTTTACCTCCTCCTATTTTGGGGCAGCCAAACAAAAGGAAACCGAAGGGACCATTCGAGTCCAGCACTGTTAGAATGCATTTAATGAAGTTCTCATTTTGTTTTGCTGAAGACAGTATGCATCACGATCCAAAATTCTATGCTGCTAAAAAGAGCAAGGGACTAATTTCTGTAGGTAAACATTATGCTGGCATTAAACCAAATTCACTATGTATCACTATCATACACAATAATTTCAGTAGTTAAACGCTATAGTATTATACCAAATTATTTTATGTATCATGTATAATTGTTTTCTCATAATATTTTGAGAGATCAAATAAAGAGTGAATAAGGAAAATGAATGTCAATTAAAAGGGATCATTTTAGAAAGCTGTGTTGAGGTTTTTGACAATTTCACTAGTTTTTCTTGAGGTTTTGAAAATATCACTTGCCTCTTTCGTCATCAATTTGGTTTCCAAATGCTTATATCATTAGTGGTGAAATGACTATACTAGTCTTACACATATGCGTGGAGAGAAACAATCAAAATGTTTGCTAGTTAAATTAACCATAATTTGGAATTTTAAAAAACAACTAGTTTGCTATATAAAAAGGAAACTAATACTATGTGCACTTTTTCTATTAATGTGTTTGACAGATAAAAAGAATCATATATGATGTATCTGATAAATAAATAAAAGGATTCTAACATGAAAAATAACTGAGCCGTTTACAAACTAAATTAACCATGATTTGATTATGTTAGACATCAGAAAAAGGCTCCAACACTAGGCTAACTTTTTTATATATATACTTGACAATTAAAAGGTATTGGACATGTGGAGATTCCAAAATTGTTTCTTCTTATTAGCATGGTGATAACAAGAGTCTTAAGGAAAGAAAAAGAAACTTTAGGTTTGGTTGGACAGCTGATTATTTTTTCAAATATATTTGCTTACGTCATCATTACAATTTCCAATATACCTTTTTATCTCACATACATCACAACACAAAAAGTGCTACAGTAAAAATATCTCAAATAACTTACAATCCAAATTTTGAAAGGTATTACTCTTTGGTTGCAAATGATGAAAGTTTTTGTTAATCATGTGTAACAGCAACCCTGTAAGTGAAATAATAAGTTAGATCGAATAATTAAATTAACTATTATTATAGGAGATGGCCACTTTTAGAATCAAATAATCTTCTCACACCTAAAATCATTTTTTGTATTATTGCTTCTTTTTTGAATTGGGGTAAATTATTACAAGGGTATAAATTTCGAGGGAGGTTAGTGATATTTTCAAACTTTCAAGGATGGCAATGGAACCGTCAAAACTGAGGGAATGTTTCTAAGATTATTCCTAATTAAATCCTATTACATCCAATATGTCCCATGTTCATAACGTATGTACCATTAATGAAAGACACAAAGCCCACCTTAGAAACTTAAAAAAGAAAAAGAAAAAACCCATAGTGAGTTGAAGAAAAGAAAGGCTACGGACCAGAGAAAGAGAGAGATCCTCTCGAGAGTCTCAACAGAAATTACATTCCCAAAGTTCCCAGTGTCTCCTCCAGAGTCCAGACAAGAAAAGAGAGAAAAATTAATAGTGTGTATTCCTAACTCCCAGGTGTATTAAACACTACAAAAAGCCACAAATAAAAATGTACTCTACTAGACAGACAGCCAAAAATGTTTAAAACAATAATATTGCTGACTAATATGCAGATAGCCTAATACTTGAAACAATTATAAGTATTTCCAAGCCCCCTAAGAGAAAAAGAATAAATATGTACAAAAGACCAAAATAGTTACTAAAAACTAATATATGATGATCTCTGAACAACGTTTGTTCTACAACTATGTTTTGCACTTTTACTGCCTTAATATACACTATCAAAGTAGCAAGTGCCAAATTATATAAGTAATTAAGTTAAAATTTAAAAAAAAAAAAAAATTGCTTGTCCTAAGGCATGAAGAGCTTGTTCCCACATTTGCACCGCCAGGCTTCCGGGTAGTACTCTAGTGGTCGACTCAAACCCGGTTGAATCGGAACATGAACCGGTTTACACGGTGCACAACTTCCACACTTGGATCTACATGTAGGCGGCGATGATCCCGGTCCAGTCAGTCTTCTTCGATACAAAACTCGCTTGATTAACTCCATCCCACCTGCCCTTTTCACCTCTGCTCTTATCTCCTCCCTCATTGCACCACCACCTACACAAACAAACCAACCGAGTTAACCATAAATTTCAGCTCCAAGAACCGGGCTCTTTTTAAAGGTGTGTGCGGGTACTTACTGAATTGGCGGGCGTGGTTGAAAGTAAGAGCTGAAACTGAAGAAAGCAGGAGAAAGAGTAATGCACTGATGGTAGCGAATGACAGCGAACGGTGGCGGTGGTGGTGGCGTATTACGGCCATGGCGGCGGTGGGTGGGGGTGGACTTGTTAATGTTGTCTAGTATGCAGGAGGAGGAGCTGGGGGTGGTTTGGGGGGTTTAAGGAGGAAGGAGGAGAAGTATGAAGTGCCAGTACTTAGCAGCCTGTGTATAGCTAAATTTGAGAGCGGTGTTGTGTTGTTGTTGGCTAACTTGGCTTGTTGCGTGGGGGAGAAGAAAGGAAGAAAAAGAGCACGATTTTTTCTGGTCCAAGTCAAAGACACAATACTACATTAAAGGATGAGAGAGAGATTGTGTCTATTGTATTCATAGAGGACATATGAAAGGATGCACTTGTCTATCGCTGTTTAACCTATCGGAGATGTTGTTGTGTTTTATCCACGTTTATAAACTCCTTTGGGAGGCTTTGTAGAAAATTGCATTCCTTTTTTTTTTTTTTTGAGACCTGATATATTTCAGTAAAAAGGTGATTAGAAAAATGCGTAAAAAGATTATTTTTCAAAAACTAAACAAAATTTTTCCAAAAGTAACAATTTGAAACAAGCTGTTAATGTTTTTTTTTTTTTTGAATGAGTATATGCGTGGTAACTAAAAAATGTGTACTCATTCCTTTTACTATGAATATTGGTAACTTGGTGAAGTGGCTTGACTAGTTAGCTAGTATTTTATATCTTTTAAAGAAGACAATTATTGCATTTTCGATCGAAAAGCAATAAGGGTTTTGGTTCTTTCTTGTTGTCTTCTAACCTACTTTACCTAGGATGCAGTAGTGCACTAGGATAGACGAAAGTCATAAATTTGTAACATCAAAAAATGGTTACTCATATACTCTACACCAAAAAGTAAAATGATATCTAGTGCTTTGGTTGCTTGAATAATTGAACGTATTTTGCTGAAATAAGATAAGCAACGCAGCTCAAAAAACGGAGTCCATAATAACCACTCGGCCATAGCATTTCAATCCCCAAAAAGCTATTCTATAGTAACCAAGATTTTTTTTTTTTTTTTGACTACTACTATAGCATTTCTTTTTACAACCAGTCCACTGCGTCCCTAACCTAGAGAGAACACACTACTAGATTTCCTAGTTTTTGTGCTACAATAGAGCATGCAATGAGTCGAGGGTTTGTTTGGTCTATTTCCTCTGACGAAGAAAGAAAAGGTGTGAAGAGGGTCCCAAAAGAAATATAAGATTGATTGATTGTTCTGCGGGCATAGGACTGTCCTTGCACCTGCACAACTATTATCTAGTGTCTCTAAGCCTTCCATCTTCATTTCATTAAGGGGAACAAGAAATTGAAAGAGAATAGGATAATAGGCAGAATACGAGGAATAATTGAATGTGGTAAATTTTAGATGTTAAAAGCGTAAAAAAACAAAAAAAGCGCAAGAAATGTCACAAGTCTATTAGGGGGTGCAGGGCATTAGTAAAACCACTATCACTTGAAGACACGACACTAAGGATCCTTCTTCTAACTGGTGCCCAATTAACACAGTCAAAGTAGAATTTAGCACATTCTTTCGCCAAAATGAGCTATACTGAAAAGGCTCCTTCATAGTGAAGTTGTATGTGGTAGATATTTGAATACATAAAACCTATAGGGAAATTTGCCAAATTGGTCCCTAACATTTACCAAAAATACTTTTTTAGTCCTTAACATAAAAAATCAGCCAAAATGATCCTTCACATTTAAATTATGAGCCAATTTGGTCCTATTGCTCGTTTTTGCTCATTTCTCTGACTAAAAATAGCACCCCCCTCACGTGGTCATATTTTTAGGGGCAAAACCGGAAAACACATTTCATTGAATATGACCGTCTTCATCGGTCTTCAGCTAAGCCGACGAGGCTGAGGCTGTTTATATTTCTGTTGAATGCCAACCCACCGCCGTCCGTGAGTAGTTTTGAGTCGGATGATTTCAAGGCTGAGAGGCAGTGGTTTGTTGACGCGTTGAATGCTGCGCAGATTAATCAGAATTTGGAGGGCTCTTCTCCGCAGTCTGTGGCGGTTTCTGGGGTGGAGGAGCCGGCGAGGAGCCCTGATTTTTTGTTTGGTTTGGAAAAGGGTCATCCCACGCCGGCGAAGTTGCAGGATCCTCCGCCGGTGGCCCCTACGGTTATGGTTCGGCAGGTGATAGGCGAGCCCGTGGTTCCTCCGGCGGCGGAGATTCAACGGCAGATGCATGAGTTGCAGAAGATGCAAATTTCAGGCCATGATCAAGATATGTACAGGAGGAAAGTCGATGAGTTTTACCAGCAAAAACCTCCACCCCAGGCTCCTCAGGCGGAGCAGGTTGCGCCGGTGACAACTCCGGCGCCGTATTGGCAGGAAAGACAAGGGCCTTTTCCAGCTGGGGTTGGAGTTGGAGTTGGAGTTGGGGTTGGGGGAACCGAGCCTCCTCCTATGTACCTAATTCAAACTCCGGCGGTGATTAGATGAAGGAAAGATGGCTTCTTTTGACCGGTAATGAAATGTGTTTTCCGGTTTTGCCCCTAAAAATATGACCACGTGAGGGGGGTGCTATTTTTAGCCGGAGAAATGAGCAAAAATGAGCAATATGACCAAATTGGCTCATAATTTAAATGTGAAGGATCATTTTGGCTGATTTTTTATGTTAAGGACTAAAAAAGTGTTTTTGGTAAATGTTAGGGACCAATTTGGCAAATTTCCCAAACCTATATATATATATATAGGTAGGGGTGGCAATTCGGGTCCAAATCAGGTTGACGGGTCGGGTTCGGGTCAACCCGTCAGAAAATCTGTTGACCCGAACCCGACCCGCCAACCCGTGACAGGTCAGGTATGCTGACCCGAATCCGAAAATTTCGGGTTGGCGGGTCAACCCGAAATGATCCGAAACTTAATTTTAATTTATTAATTTATCACTGTAATTTCTAATAAAATCAATTTCTCACAAAACTAATTACATAATCAAGTAATAAAAATTTAAATAAATAATTCCAAACCAAATCTAAAATAAATTAAACACCGTAAAAGTGTTTTATCCCAAACAAAATATAAAATAAATTAAAACAATATAAAAGTAAAAAATAATATATATTCTTTGTCCAAATATAATAATTTCAACTTCACACAAATTAAATAAATTCATTTAGGATTAAGTAATTAATGCCTTTGAAAAAAAGAATAACTTAGTTTAGTTAGATAAAATTATTTTTATGTTTATTAAATTATTTTTAATTCGTAAACGGGTTATATCGGGTCATATCAGGTCACCACGGGTTGACCCGAAATCGACCTGTTTTCTTTTCGGGTTCATCGGGTCCAACCCGATTCTGACCCGAATTCCCGAAACCTCAACCCAAACCCATTAATTTCGTGTTAGGTTCGTGTCGTGTTTTCAGGTCGTGTCGAAAATTGCCACCCCTATATATAGGCATGAGGGGTGGTTGAAGGGGGCTATGGGGGGAGGACTGAGGAGTCGCCACTGGCAAAGGACGGCACTCGTGTGGTAGCGTAGGTGCGGGGGTATGCCATGGGAGGTGGCTGTCTTGTACGGGACCAACATCTGAACACTGAGTGAACGGAAAGCTAAAAATGAAATATTTTCATATCCAACCCCCCATTATTGACTCTTTACCACCTGCTTTCCCATTTCTCATGTTACACAACATATAATTGAGGACTCAATCACAGGTCAATTTGACGCATTGTGGGCCTATATTTTGCCTAATTGTGCATGGTTGTCATGTCAAATAAAACACAGGCTCCGTTTAAATTAGCTGTTTTTGAGAATATTTTTGAAATATTTTACTGTAATAATATATATAAAAATTTTATTTTTTAGGTTTTTTTGTATTTTTGGTATTTTTTTGAGGTTATTTTTTATGTTTTTGGTGTTTTTAAAGTTGTTTTTTGTGTTTTTTTGAGATTGCCTTTTTTTTGGTATTTTTGAAGTTATTTTTGGTATTTTTGAGGTTATTTTTATTTGTATATTACTGTAACATTATATATGAAAAACTTATTTTTAAAAAATGATTAATCCAAACATAGCCACAGATTTTTGGTGGGAGAAGGGATTATAAGTAACAAGTTCTGATTTCAAAATCTCTCACTAATATAAAAAAATATTTAAAAAAGAACCAAATTTCTAGCAATACCCAAATATTTTGGTGGTCCAATATGCCAAAAAGAGAGAGAGAGAGAGCACTTTAACTAGTAAGTTATAGTTTTTTTTCTCAAGGAAAATATGTAGGTGTAGTACTAAATTTAATTTCAAAAAAAATTAAGAAGAAAAACATTAAAGAATCAAGAAGAAGAAAAGCATTTAAGATGCACAAACTCTATCTAGTACTCCTACATTAATTGTTGCATTAAATGAAGGGGGGGGGAGGGGATGATGGATAATGCTTGTGCGGGCCTACAAGCAGGGGTTTCGGTCATTCGGCTCTGGATTCAAGAGAAAATGAAAAAGAGGGTGGCCTGCGCCTTCTGGGTTCAGTCAGGTTGATGTTCAGAACTCATTTAAGGCCGGGTCAGGAAAAGAAAGAGAGAGAATTAGCCATATGGGCCGTGTGGGATCCATTTGTTGTTTGGATCAGGAAAATGGTTAAGGACTGCCAAACGTTAGATAACCTACCAAAACTGAAAGTAACAGCTTCTATTAAATGCCGGCCCTTTCTACCATCCTTGTTCGTAATTCGTACTCAGTAAATTATTTATGGAACTTGATCAGTCAAACTTTCACCACTAGATGACCAATATGATTTGTAATTTTTGCATCTAAATAAAACAAATACGTTCGAGTATGAACTCAAGCTTAAGTAAGTTAAAATAGTTATTGAATTGAGCTCCGATTTTGAAAAGGAAAAATGGTCAATTTAATCCTCATACTTTTTTGTTTGAACCAATTTCATCCTTCGATTTTTTATTTAGATGTTTGTAGTCCTTCAACTTAAATTTACTAGCCAATTTCATCCTTTCGTGGTGATACTACTTTTTGACACAAAAATCACCACCAAATTAAGGGCAATATAGGAATTACAAATTAAAGATCAAAACAAAAAATTAGAAAATGCTAGGGAGTAAAGTTGAAAACATTTCATCTTCTTCAATGAGCAGCTGCATACTGATTCTTATTCTTCGACTAGCTCCTGCCAAACTTCCAAAGACAATATATCTTAAAAAAAAAAAAAAAACCTTCATCAACATTGTTTTTGTACATCATCATATGTCTTGTAAGTTTAGCTCCACAATTAAGACTTACTAACATATAAAATTTTCTTGATAAACTCAAGAAAAGTATTCAAATTAGCAAATGG